ATGAGATACAACAAAAGGTAGGGGGAGACAAAAGAAGAAAGAATCAATCACACAAATGAAAATCAAATACCAACATATTCTTCAACTTGATCCTATTAATGCAGGCAGGTCTCTTGCCAATCATTCTATTAGGATTTTTTTTCTTTTTCTTCTGGATTTTGAGGGTTTTTCATTTATTAGATAGCTTAATTCTTTTTTTTTTTAAATTTGGAGAGGTTTTTGCTATAGGGCACATACACTTGCCAGAAAGACAGAGAGAAACAGAGAGAAACAGAGAAAGCAAGAAATCACCTCCCGGAGGGGATGGCCACGCCACAATCCCCTCTCCTCCATTCTCCTCTCGAGATCTTGGGCACACATGCACATGCACCCGGCATGAGTTTAAGCCACTGGGTCCAAGCTCAAACCGTGGTTGACTACGTGGGAGTCCAGCAATATAGCCATACACCAACTGCTGGACCCAATAGCATAATTATTTAATTGTAATATATACTGTCATTATTCCTCCTAAGTTTGCTGTCTGTATTTTGAAAATGCTTACACCGTTTCTTGACTTGCAACCTTAGAAAAAGTATTTTTACATATCCATAATTATTTATCAGTTTCTTCATTTTTTTAAGTTTAGAATTATTGCTAAAAAGGCTTTCTCCACTCTGAATTTTAAAGGAATTTTCCCGTGTTTATTCTAGTGCATGTATGACTTTTTTCTGAATATTTGATTATCTTACCTACTTGGAGTTTATCCTGGTGGTTTACATGAAGTATGAATATAAATTGGGAACATTTCTGGGAATCTTTCTAATTTTCTATTCTATTACATTAGTCTGTCTATAAAAGTGTCAATTCCACACTATTTTCAGGAAAATGGTTTTAAAGAGTGATTTTAATATCTAGTGAGGCTAATTCTCTCCCTGACTAATCATTTTGTATGTATTTCATTATTTTTGTAGCTAATATTTTTTTCTTTCTTTAAATTTGCTGTAAGGCACATGCATTCACCAGAGAGAGAGAGAGAAAGTGAGAAATCACCCCTCCACACACTCCGAGGGGGTGGAATGGCCATGCTGTAATCCCTCTTCCTTCATTCTCCCCTCGGGACTTTGGAAACATACACACTCACCTGGCATGTTTTTTCACCAAATCTGGGACTGCAACTGTGGGCTTGGCCATGTGGGATCTAGCCTTCTTCACCACAACACCACCTGTCTGGCCCTTTCCTAGCTATTCTTGCATGTTTATTTTCCACATAAATTTTATAAATTGTCTAGACCTTGTGTAACACTGGAAGAAAAACTTTTTATGGAATCACATTACATGTAGATATTAGATTGTGGTATAGATCCATCTGATCCAAGTTCTACCAATATTGTTCTATTTCTTAAGTCCATTTCTGTTTTTCAGAAGTATTTTTAAGTTTTCCTCAAATAAATAAGATTTTCACAATTCCGGTTAAGATTTTCCTAAGCACCTATCTTTTTGTGGCTATTACAATAGATTTTCTTTTCAAGTATATCTTTAAACTGCTAGCTGTTTGTACATGTGAAGGCTGTGGATTATCTTTTAATTTTGAAACCATCTCAAGTTTACAGAAAAGTGAGTAGAGTATAAAATTTTTATTTTCCTGGGACCAGCAGTTGGTGTAATGGCTATGTCGCTGGATTCCCATGTAGTAGACCGCAGTTTGAGTCCTGGACTCGGTGGCTTAAACTCACGCCGGGCGCGTGTGCGTGCATGCCCAAGATCCCAAGAGGAGACTAGAGGAGAAGGGATTGCAGCATGGTCATCCCCCCTAGGGGGTGATTTCTGTCTCCCTGTCTCTCTCTGTCTTTCTGGCAAGCGCATGCGCCCTATAGCAAAAGCCTCTCCAAAAAAAATTTATTTTTCTGAACTGTGGTGTTCATCACTTCCAAAATATTTCAGAGTATAGTTCCTACAAACCAGATGCCCTCTGACATAACCACAATACACCCATCAAACTCACAACATTAACATCAATACCATCTATTACCTCTAAACCTCAGACACAGAAAACTAGATCTTTGGTTTGCTTATTTGTTTTATTTGTTTGTTTGTTTTTTAGAGTTTTTGTTTTTGTTTTGTTTGTGTTTTTACTACAGGGCACATGTGCTTGTCAGACAAGACACAAAGAGAGTGAGAAATCACCTGTAGAGGGTATGGCCATGCTACAACCTCTTTTCTTCCATTGTCTTCTCAGGATTTTAGGCACACATGCACATGTGCCTGGCATAGTTTTCAAGCCACAGGGACCAGGACTAGAATCATGCAGTGGGCCATGTGGGATCCAGCATTTTTAACCACCCAGCCACCTGCTGGCCTAAAAGCCTAGCTCTTTAGCCTGAATATACTTGCTTCTTTGATTAATCCCCAGAGATTTGCAGAATGACTCTTTATCTGGCTCCACCTCTCTTCCTCTCTGGGGTCCCCTCCTACAGGCACACAGGCCCTGACACTCCACAGCAGGAGCTCCTTCATGATAATGCCTGGTGCACCCTACTCAGTCTGCTCTGACACACTGCTCCAGATTGCCTCCTCTGAGGAGGCCTCTGTCATCCCACGAGCTCAGACACCCCCTATTAGACAATTCCTCCAGGAATACCTTCCTCAGCCTAACTGTGCTTCTACTCTTCTTGCTAGGCTATCTGTCCACAGGGATGCCGCCTCATTTCACATGTATTCTGATGCCCCAAGTCAGGCTGCCCAGTACAGGGTCTCGAAACCAGACTGGAATGAAAAAGTGGGAGGCTACATTGGCAGGGGACTGGCATGGGGGATTTTCCACCCACATGAGGGATTTTCCACCCACACAGGTTTGCACTTTCCCTTAGGCTTACTGTAGCTCCCATCCTGGCAATCACTCGACAATGGTTTCATTTCTTTGGTTTATGTTTTACTACTTTTTGAGAGAATTATGATCACAATATTTAAAACCAACCAGATTTCAAGTACATGACTCTCTTGTATTTTTTCCCCCATTATCAGGCAATCTTCAAGATAATTCTTTCAGCAAATGGTACAGAAAGATTAAAAAAAAAAAAAAAAGGTATTTCTCAGAGCAAGAAAGTGGCGTGGTAGTTACGTCACTGGTATCCTACATAGCCAACTACAGTTCAAGTTCCAGACCTAGAGGCTCACTTTCTCGCTTTCTCTCTTTCTCTCTCTGTCTCTCTCTGGTAAATGCATGTGCCCTATAGCAAATTTAAAAATAATAATGATAAATAAAATGAAATAAATAATTTTTAATGTAGCCCCCTACACAGTGGTCCGAGAATACCACCTTGGTTCTCTGGCATCAGTTCCCACTTCACATGGTATAAGCAATTCATTAAAGACAATAACTTTTGAGGGAACCAAACTTCTACCAGTCTCAGTACACATGGTTTGGATATAGCAGACCCTAACTCACCCAAGGAGTATGACCTGGCTTAGGCCAGTCGGTGGTTTTAACTCCTCTCCATGTACCTAGAAGCAGGCATTCAGATCATACTTTCTTAAATGATTGCCTCTGTGTCTCTCTCATCCCTCCAATTCTTCTTACAGCAGGACTACAACACACCTCCCCCCTGAGGAACATGGCCTGTTTCTTCCTTTTTAATCCAAATGGGAGTTGTTGTTTTTTTCTAATTTACCAAAAGACACATATGCTCATCAGAGAGAGACAAAGAGAGAGTGAAAAAAATACCCCTAGTGGGGCATGGTCATGCCATAATCCCTTCTCTTCCATTTCTCCCTCCTTTTAGGATTTTGGGCATGCACGCACATATGCCCAGTGTGTTTATCGAGCCACTGATTAGGACTCAAACCACACAGTCAGACATGTGGGATCCAGCTGTCATCAGCTGGCCCATTTGGGAGCATTTGATCATTCCAAGCCATGAAATATGGTGGAATGATACTATGTGACAGAAAAGTCTAGGTAATAAAAAAGACAAAGCTTCTGCCAGGCTTGCATTTGGGGGGACGATCACTAAGGAGAAGCCAACCATCATGTTGTAGGGAACACCATGCAGTGAGACAACATGGAGAGGCCCTCATGCAGAGGAAATGAAACTTCCAACCAACTGCCAGCATCAACAGCTGAAGGCTAGATGTTTAGTGAGTAAGCCTTAAGAAGATTCTCACTTCTAGGCTTCACGCTGCTCCTGTTCACTCCACAGGAAGCAGAGACAAAACATCCACACCAACCCTGACCAAATTGCATATTTGTAGTCAAAGTAAATATAACTCTGTGTTTGTGTGTATGTTTCTTTCTTTTCCGTTTTTTTTTACACATTTAATCATTGTACATCTTTATATCAAACAAAATTAATTTTCCCAGCATGAAACACATTAATCCATTCCAAAATATTTTTGAAAACATTATCATCAACAGATTATTTTCCATTTTTGTTTCTGTTAAATATTTTGCCTTTTTTCCCCTTTTATTCTCTTCTTCCCACCCCTAGTTGCATACCCTCCTCCCACATTGTCTCAACAAATAAGCACTTTAGCAACTGAGATGTGGCCTCTTCAGCATTTCTCCCACTCTATTCTCCCTATCTTTCCAACCATGGCCCTCACCACTCTTCTCTAATCACTGATGTTTTTGTCTGTTCAACAGAGTCAAGGAAACCTGTTATTCCTATATCTCTGAAAAGATGAAGGCCACACGAAACAATACTCCTGATCATTTAAATAGATGCAAGAATATGGAAGCATTCATGGATTAATCATAATGGAGCTCAGACATCTCAGGCTCAAGGGCCTACTATCAGCCAGTGCAACATCTACAATCATATGAACATAACCTGCTTTTTCTGTTATCTGCTGGTGTGGTCTTTATTATGAGCACCAAGAGCAATGGGTTCATATTTAGTGACTGATAAGTTCTTACTCAACTCTGGCCTGAGGGTTTGGTCAGATTGTGCTGCAAGACTGAGATAATCTTACCTGATATAGCTCCTTACAACACTAGAGGAGACGACAGGGCTTAAAGACAAGCAGAAATCATCAGCAGCTCTGACCAGGTAGCCATCCTAAGAAGATGCAGCTGCTCCTGCTCCTGTTGGCCTTCCTTCTGTGCCCCAGGGCTGAAGCAGGTGAGTGACCATCCCCACAAACATCCCCTCCCAATCCCAGCCTAAAGTCCCTCTCAGATGCCATACACTCAGATATATCTTGGCTCTGGGTCATCTCCAGGAACTTTATGAACCCTACATCCAATCTCACCCACAGATCAGCAAGTCTGATGCTGAATAGAAACTCAGGAATAATGCGGATAAGGCTGTTCTCCATAAGAGCTAGTAGATATGATTCCTTCCTTAAATCCTACCCTTGTCATCCAGAAAGTCGCTTCCCTTATAAAAGTATTTGGAAGAAGGTTGGAAGCTTGGAATAAGAAATAACTAATTCCATATAAAAACCAGCTTGGAAAAAGGGCTTGGTTTCTATTACCAAGGTAAGGCCAATAACTTTCTAACTGAATGGCAAAATCTACTTATCAATCTCCAACCAAATCCCTTCTCCAAACTTTGCATTCCCATACCTCCCAAGAAAGAAATCTAAAGCCCAGTTCATCTCAGAATTGATGACATCTGGTCACTTAAATTTTATTTTATCTTGACTTAGGTTCAATTTCTCTCTGGTCATTTTTCAGTTATTGTTGTTCAGTTTGGTTTTGGTTTCAGTTTTTATATATCCTGATATTTAGCATTTTCCAGTAACACATGGGTACAGTGGATTTATAAGCCCCATCTTCCCAACTGCTCATCATCCCATCAGCATGACCAAGAATCCCACTAGCACTACCCCAGCCAACCCTCGCCCACAGCTATTGGGAGTCATTCCTTCATGCACCCAGAACATTTACTGGGCACATGTTTTGGTTCAATCTCTAGTAGATAAAGATCAAACACAATCAACCTCTTAAGCTCATTTCACAATATTACAAACCAACTGCAGCTTTTGGTCTGGGAAACAAAAGGAGAAGGAAGACAAGGGGAACTTCAGAGATAGGACTTTCCAGGCTCTATGGGACCTCCACTACTTAATGCCAAACACAAATGCTGTCTGTCAACAGAAATGTCTGAATCAGGACTTAAGGAAGAAAGGCTGTTCTCTTTGTCAAGGGGAGAATCTGAGTCCCAACAGGTCACTTTGCAAGTCAGAAATACTCTCCAGAGAACCCTCAGGGCTCCCTTCTTAGCTGCTACTGGCTACTACTGACCCCACTACCCACCACCCCACCTGATTCCTTACTTCTGTAGTTTATCCCAGTGTCAACTTCTTCAGCCTTTGGCTCCATGAAAAGAGAAAGCAAAGTAGGCTTTTGTTTCAGGGAAAATCATTGGAGGCCAGGAAGCGAGGCGTCATTCTCATCCCTACATGGCATTTCTTCGGATCCGGACTCCAGATGATGTGAAAAGATGTGGGGGTTTCCTTGTGCGTGAGGACTTTGTGCTAACAGCAGCTCACTGCGGGGGAGGGTAAGTTCAGACCTTGTTCCTGAGCTTCTATACGCCATCCTAGGGGAGCCTCTTTCTTTGGGGCTATAAATATGGGCCCCATACTAAGAGCTCCTTGAAGGATAGGCAAACTTTGGGAAAAGAGGGGCAGGTGAATGTAAGTGGCCTGATGAAAAGAAAAAGAACACACCTGTCAAAGGTGGGTGGGAAGGAGGTCAAGGTTGTGTCCTAAAGCCCAGAGTAGAGACTAGAGAAAATTGTTTCACTTGGAGACAGTCAGGCTCTGTGCAAGACTGAGTATGCGACATCTGCTCCAGAAACTTCCACCCAGCCCTGGCTGCCTGTAGACAAAGGGCATGAGACACTCTGCCCCAGGCCCCATGCTCTAGAATTTCTCTCAACTCCTGCCCTGCTTCACCCAGGGATGTCCACCTCCCTTCACAGCTCCCAGAGCTACATCCCTTGTGACTTGCTCTCCCTCTCTGCTCCCTGTGTAGCTCAATAAATGTCACCTTGGGGGCCCACAACATCGCGGAGCAGGAGAAGACGCAGCAGGTCATTCCTGTAGCAAGAGCTATTCCCCACCCGAGCTATATTTCTAAAAGACCCTTCAATGACATCATGTTACTGCAGGTGAGCCCCATTACTCCATTGGCCATTGAACACTTTGATGTTTAGTTTTTTGCAACTTCATTATCTCATTCCCATACCTTCTTCCCGATATGACCTCCTTCTCGATATTACCTCCTTCCCAGTGTCACTCGTCCCAGGGTCATAGAGTAGGCAACCCTGTAACTGTCCAGAATCTTTTTGAGCTATTGATAGATTTAAGATTTCTTTCCTCTACCTTCAGCTGAATAGGAAGGCCAGATTGACTCCTGCGGTTCGCCTTCTCGCGCTACCCAGTGGATCGCAGGTGACACCAGGGATGGTATGCAGTGTGGCAGGCTGGGGACGTATTGGATTATTTGAAACAACACAGAAACTCCACGAGGTAGACCTGGAAGTTCAAAAGGATGAGCTGTGTGTTTCTCGCTACAAAGACTGTTATAATAAAACCACCCAAATATGTGTGGGGGACCCAAAGAAGTGGAAGACTTCTTTTAAGGTGAGATTACCAGCACTTTCCATGCTTAGCCTGTACACAACAGAGCTTTGAGGGGATCCAGGACAGTGGAAGATAGCCATACCTATCAACACTAAGCCTTTACAACCAACTCAGTCTCTGGTTTCTTCTACCTGGGGCAGAATAGGATAGTTGCTGTCCTCACAGCCACTTTATGGAGGAGTGACAGGTCCAGCCTTAGTCAACTAGAAAGAATCATCAGGACCAGGAGAGAATCCCAAGGTGAAGGGAGGTGGCAAGGTCTGCTTGACTCTGATAACATGCACAGCCCCCTAACATAGACACCCACCCATGGGAGGAAGGAAGAGCAGGACCTAGAGGAGGCAGTTCAGTTCTTTCTCTCTTTGCCCACAGGGGGATTCTGGAGGCCCTCTCGTGTGTAACAATGTAGCCCACGGCATTGTCTCCTTTGGAACAAAAGATGCAAAACCTCCACGTGTCTACACCAGGATCTCCAGCTTTCTGTCCTGGATAAGAAGTACAATGAAGCAGTTCAAACTGCAGGGTGCAGACTGAGGTGCTTCCAGGATTGGTCTGTCTATCTTCTCCAGGCAGAGGCCAAAAGCACATCAGGTGGTGAGGGTCATGTGCAGGTTCCCAGAATTAATAAACTTCATCTCCAGAGTGGAAGTGATTGATTCTTCCTTCACCCAAAAACACAACATTCCATAGGTACCAGCCATGTGTCTAGAGCCATCTGTTCATGTTTTGATTTGTCTTATTGCTTTGCCCTCTAGCATATTCCATCTTTCACTTCTAGAGTAAAAAAACATGTTGTGTTGATACTGTCAACCTAGACAAAAGACTGATACATGATGAGTGAAAGAAAAGTGGTGTTTTGTTTTGTTTTGTTTTTGTTTTTTGAGTCAAGGCTTAGGATAAGTAACCCAGATGAACAACAACCTCTTGTTCCCTAGAAATGTGCTCATTGAAATGGTGGCTGAGAAGGCTGGTTTCTAGTACAAAGAGAAGGGCAAAGAGGGAAGGCTGCCAAGTTGTGTATCTAGAGTTTACATTCTGCCAGTCAAGTTAACTTGAGTCACACAGCACACACTTGAGTACCCTGGGTCTGATAGGCCAGAGGACTGGAGGAAGGGGATCTCTGTGTGACTAGACCCTAAAGAGGGTATGCATTCTCTCTCTCTCTCTCTCTCTCTCTCTCCCTACCCCCCCTTTTTCTCTCTCCCTTTGGCTCATGCATTTACACATGCTCTGTCATAAATTTTTTTAAAAAAAGTTTACACTAGAGCATTTTAAATTACACAATAGGGCCACTCAGTGTCTTGGAGGTTAAGGCAACTGAACCCCACACCACCTACTGCATGGTTGGAGTCCCAGACCTGGTGGCTTGAAAATCACACCTGGCACATGTGTATGCATGCCCAAAATTCTAAGAGCAGAATAGAGGAGAAGGGATTATGGCATGGCCATTTCCCAAGGTGGGTAATTTCTCACTTTCCTTCTCTGTCTGTCCTGGCAAGTGTATTTGCCTAACAACAAACAAAATAAATTAATTAATTAATTAATAATAAAAATAAACATTTAAATATACCTTGATTGATACACACTAGGTTAAACTTCTCCTCTTTTCTCTGTGCCTAGGTCCTTACAAATATACCTCCCCAATGCCACCTGCCACAGCCAGCCTGAGTGTAAATTGTATCAGGGAAAAGAAAACAGGAAAATGGCCCTCTCTAAACATGAACCTCTTACCTCATCCATATTGTCCCCTAGCTCACTCCTCATCTACACCTCTGCCTCACCACACCCCATGCCCAATAAGGCAACATAAAAGAACTCAGATTTTGAAGGAGGATTACTTCAGAAGCCTCAGAGTAGCCAGCCACTTCTCTATCTCCCTGGAAATGGGTAGGAGTCTTTTGGAAAGATGTGGCTCACCCCATGAAGGGCTCCTTCTCCAAATCTGAAAAGCTAGTAACTTGGTGGCCCAGAAAGTTTCAGGGAGGTCTCTCAGTATCCCAGACCCAGATTAAGTGCCTGTTGCAGACCTTTCTAGGGCCCAGCACAGCTCCAGTTTCCTGGCAGTCCACCCTCCTACAGCCTCGGGTGGCCTTCAGGGCACCCTTGTATCTTGATCTCAGCCAGCTTCTCACCACCTCCCCCTATCCAGAATTCCCAAAGCCTCATGAGGATCATGGCAGGCTTTCTCTTCTGGGATGCTCATCCCATGGGTCTTATGTTCCTATCCATCTTCTGCCCTCGCCATGGAGCACAAGGAAGGCAGGATTCATCCCCAGAACTCATGGCCGCATCTCTCACCTGAGCAGGGCCATTACAGCCCTTATGTGGACATGTGTCCTCATGAACTCAGAATCCACCACCTAACAGGTGACTCAGTCACCTGATCCTTTCCAGTCTGTCCTTTTTGGTCATTGATGACAGCTTGACATCTGGACTAGGACTCCCAGGTTCACACTCCCAGGTTTATTATTTTATAGGGTAGAAAATGGGGGAAGAGGGAATGGAATGCAAAGCCAGCTGTTTTCAGATGTTAATTGGCTGATGATGCGAGAACAACTTGCACCATGTAATTTCTCTGATCTTTTGAGGCTGATTCTGATAAACACATGAGACTTCCTTTAACCTGATACTACTCTGCAGTATCGATAACAGCACATAGGTACAGCACATAGCTAGCATGTTCACGTGTTAATTGCCTTCATTGCTATGCAAATGATACCTCATTGAACTGCATTTCTGCATGTGTCTGAAGGGCACCATGTTTGCTCAGAATGGCCACTCTCCACACTCATCCCTTTGTTTCTGGGACTATGTGTTCTAGCTACAGGGATGTCTATATATCTACTGCTGGTTTAAAGCATAGTCTCTATCCTGTAAGATGATCTCAATCTTGCAGGTAGCTGGGTCTCAGCCATAATTATTGTTTGGTGTTCATTAAACCATTCCAAATTTTTCTCAAGCCAGCTGCTTCTGGGAGATATGGTACATGGACCATCGCTGCACTTTTATCATGGTGGAATATGTTGGACAAGAGAAGAGCTGTGTGGGATACCAGACAGGACAGAAACCCTGTAAATTGTAAATCCAGAAGGAGTGGTACTGGCTGAAGTCTGGGGGGGGGCAGAGAAGACAGAGTCCTACCTGTACATATTCTCCATTTTAGATTTTAGGTTTTTGAATTAGGGATGCTCATCCTGCCTTAAAAGAAGTTCTCCAGACTAAAGGCATTAATTTCTGTTGTAAACAGTACAGAAAAAAAAAAAGTAAAAGTGTAGAAGAATAAAATATGACAAATATAAAAGATGTTGTATGAGTTCCTGTCGAAGATTGTTGATTATTTAAGGCAAAAATGTGATGAGATTTATGGCATATGGTAGTAAACTATATGAAAAAAAGTAATTGGGAGAGAAGAGAAATGGAATGCATTGTTACAAGGTTCTTATGAGATGTGGTATAGCACGAATTCAAAGTAGATACTGATATGTGAAGGAGACATATCAGTATGTCTCTAGTGCAATCACCAAAATAATGTGCAGAGACATAACCAAAATCCAACAGAGAAGACAAAATGAGATACAACAAAAGAACAAAGAATCAATTGCACAAATGAAAATCAAATACCAATACATTCTTCAACTCAATCCCATCAATATTTGTACTAATGGAAACAGACTAAATGTTTAATTAAAAGGCTGAGATTATCAGTGTACATTTTCTTAAATGCAAGACCAACTTTTTTCTGTTTACAAAACACATAACTTAAACATACAGATCTAGGATAAAAGTAAAGTTATAGGAGAAAAAAGATGTATCCTGCAACACCAATCAGAAGAAAACAAACAGGCCTGCCAGGTGGCATGATGGCTAGGTGCCCAGATCCTACATGGCCACGTGTCTAGTTCAAGTCCTGGACCTGACAGCTTGGAAAACACACTGGGCACACATGCATGCATGCCCAGAAACCCAGGAGGAAAATGGAGAAGAAGAGATTGTGGCATGCCCTTCTCTCACTTTCCTTCTTTCTTTCTTTGTCTTTGCCTCTCTCCAGCAAGAGCATGTGCCCTATAGCATTAACTGAAAAATAAATTTTAAAAAACCACCTTGCCCGTGGGGCATGCTGTTTAACTTTTGAATTTGTGGCCACCTGTGAGATAAAAGAGTGTCTCAGTATATTTTTTATCTTTTTAATGAGAGAGACAAACAGAGAGGTGGGCATTTTCAACAAGGTCTCACCATGCCGTGGTCTTCCGCTCCAACCTCCCAGCTAGCTAGGATTACAGGTGTGCACTGCTGGCACAGCCATCCCCCTCATGGGGATGATTTCTCACTTTACCTATCACTGTTTCTGTTTCTATATCTCTCTCTGGCAAGTGCATGTGTCCTAAGACAAAAATTTGAAAAAAAGTAAAAAAAAATTTTTAATTTAAAAAAGACATGGAACCAACCTAAGTGTCCAAAAACTGATGAATGGGTTGAAAACTGTGGTACATATATACTATAGTATGTTATACAACTATAAGAAACAATGAGATCCTGTTGTTTGACTCAAAATGGATGAATATAGAAGACTTTAGTGAAGTGAACCAGACTTTGAAAGATACACATTGTATATCTCCACTCTTTTGTACTGAGTGTCTGTGCTTCATAGCAGAGGTTGAGAGATCTGATAATGTGATGCTGGAGGGAATGGGTACAGATACCAGAGACAGTAAGAAGAAAAAGTGCCTGGTAGAGAGTGGGTGGAAGATGGTAGATCTGAGAAAAAAAAAAAATTAGGACAGTTATATCTCCTTGAAAGTGTTACGTTTTGGGCCCAGCAGGAGGCAAGGTGGTTAAGGTGCTAGACTCTCACACTGCCTACCACAATTTGAATCCCATACTTTGTGACCTGCTTCTCACTTTCTCTCTCTCTCTCTTGCGTTCTCTCTCTCTTTGAAGAGTGCATGTGTCCTGTTGCATGCACAAATAATAATAACATTAAATTAAATTATATTAAATTACTAATTTTTTTTTAAAAAGTGTCATTTGTCTGTTCAACCAGTCTGCAGATGGTTTCATAAATGCTTTATCAAATAATGGAAACTCAAGTGCAAATAATTTTTGAAGACTAGAATGATAAACTTATGTTTACAAGAGAAAAACAAATCAAAACTTTTTTTCTATTGTCTGGAAATAGTTTGCTCTAGTGTGTGTCTGTTAATTTATTTGTCATCAAAGTAAGACTTTGCCTTTAAAAAAAAAAAACAAGGACTAATTAGTGTGCAAAAATGTTCACAATTTTTTGTTAAGTTGTAGTTTATCATTAGTTTACATCTCTTAAGTTATTGTTATAAATATCCCTTGTATTTTTGGTACATAACAACTTTATACTTTGAAGCATCTACCTATGTATTTGCAATTGGAATTTATTTTACCAATATTTTCTAAATTAACTGAATACAACTACTGTTGTAGAAAAAATCATCTTGTTTTTAAAATTAGGTAATTGTTTGAACTGCTTTATTTGTTGTTGTTACACACTACAGTTTATCATAGTGAACCTGAGAACAGGTTACAAGGTTTAGGTTAAACTGGAGATTTTCCTTGCCTGGAAGGCAAGGACAAAGACGACAAGGAATACAGGCACTGTAAACAG